TACCTTATTGTGGGCTGCAGATCCACCATACTGATAAGCTAGTGTGTCTCCCATTCTCTCATATAACCCCATTAAACAACTAGACAAAGGATCATCGAGTTCTATCGTTGGAGCATCTCTAATCCCCAAGGCATGAAGCTGTTGCCCTAGAGCAGCCCAGCCATATGCATATTGCGCAACATTTGTACGATCAAGGCAATCTATACAATTGGTCCTCAGCACCCCCTTCTGGAGCCTGACAGGCTTGATATCATAATCGCCATTAGCAACATTCTTACTTGAGCGAAAATTCTTCTCGGGGGGTTCATATTCCCCACTATCATCATCAGAACTATTATGTGGAGACGTGTCGGGACTGCAAATTTAAGACATCAGTATTGTAAGCATTAACTAGGTTCTGCAGGAAAAATAAGTTTTCTAATAGAAATATTTCAATAAAATCATTTTTCACCAAGTTAAAAAGTTGAATGCTACATTTTCAAAGAGTAACACAAATTATGGAGTTGATGGCAGTTTATCTACGTTTGCAGGAATGAATCAGGATAACCAGGAAAGGACTCCTAAACTAGAAGAATGATTCCATTAACTACTTTGACAATGTTCATCTTAAAAATCGTCCGCAAAATCTAAGTCAGACAAGAATTTCTATACAAGTAAGTTACAGAGACTCAAGCAAAAAGGCTTACTCAGAAGAAGATAAGCTCATATAACCCTCCAGCTTCATTGCTGGTGTAACTTGATCGTAAAAGAAACCTGTTAGCGTCAAGGCACAGCCAGCTACTTTGCCAAGAAGTGCCAAGACATTTGCTGTTTTGCTGAAATAAAGACAAAGAAAAGAGAAAACTGGTTTTATCTAAAAATGTAATTAAAGATATTCATTATTTTAAGCAGCTGGATTGCAAATTTAATAGGGATACCTCTGAAAATGTTTGTGCAAGTCCCAATGGAGAAATCTTAGACGCTTTTCTTCAGGAAGATCTTTGTTTATAAAGTCAATTGCATTAGCAAACTCTGCCCGGAGAATTGACTCCCTGGGTCTCCTCTCTTTTGTCTATTGAATGTCAAAAGCAACAGGAAAAATCAGTTAAAGCTTTGGGGTGTTTGAGGATCAATAATGCACATACAATAGTTTAGCTAGATAAAGGTAATATAATGCATCACTTGCCACTACAAAAAGGTACCCAGGAAAATGAAATGATTAAGGCATGAAAGATGATAAGAATGTAAAAACAAGCAGATTAGGCAACTCACCTTGATCAAGTTCAAAATAATGATGGGGATTCCATATCGCTCTGCAAGGTTTTCAAAGTGAAGTCTAGTTGCCTCATAGGTCAGATCCCTTTTTGACACTGGATTTGATATAGAGATATTCAAACACAAAGAAGAGTGAGTGATAGAT